AGCGTGTTGTAGCGCATGCCATCCGCGTCCCCGAATCCAGGAATTATTAATTAAAGAAACGTGGGCTGGTGAGATCAACAATACCTTTTAGGCAACATCTAAAAATTCAAAGTAATTTTTGAAAAAAAAATTACTAATTTAAAAAAAAATCATTAATAGACTAAAACGAAGTAGGTACCGAAATAAAAAAATGAATAAAACAAATAGGGTGAACGCACCAGTCATGGGCAGGTTGCAATTTAAATGTAAATAATAACCTTCCTTGTTGATATAAAGGTTTCAGTTTTTTCTAAATTGAAGAACAATGTCCTCTATTCACAATTGTATTAACAAAGTTCCCAAAAGAAAATTTTAAAATGCCTATCATTGTTTCTATAGCGCTCTTGAGATCAGTGTGTTTCATACCTCCCTACTAACAGTTTTGCTAAGAGTAAGTTGAAAATTTGTCTTATAGTAGATTCTAGAGTTTTTTCTGAGGGATGTCTATTATTGGTACCGACAATTACTAGAATAATTGAATTTTCATCACTAGTTCAAAAAGGTGTTGTTGTTTTTTTATGGAGATTATATCAGCATAACTGATTTATTTTTAATTTTAAAGTGTTAAAGAGAAAAAGGAAACCCTAAAGATTTTAAATGCCCAACGGAGAAGTTTATAACTATAATAATTATGGCGACATAAGCCAATAATGACAAACATTTTGTTAGCTCTGTCCATCATTGGTGCGCTTACTCAACAAAGGTATCAATAAAATGCACATTTATTAAATTAAACTAAATAAATTTATGTTAGAACCAATGTAAAAAGAATAGATTAATTTAATTTTTTTTTCTAACTTTAGATGCAGTATTTCGGATGGAAGTAATTTACATGGAATATTCTTCAGATAGGACAAGTCGATCAGTTACAAAAAATAAATAAATTGATACATAAAATAAAAGCATATTTGCCTATTTGTAAACAAAAACGTTCTTTTAATAGAAACGATAAATACATTAAAAAAGTTTTATTTTTTCTAAATATTGAATTTTTTTTCTTTAAATATTTATAAATTTGTGAACTTTTTATTATTATTAATTTTTAGTTTATTATAATTAAAATTTAAAAAATATCCCAAGCCCATTTATTATAAAGTTTTGGATTGGTGATTAGTTTCTGAACATTTGTATTTTTAAAAATAAGCTAACAATATCGAAGTTACAAATGTTGACTAAAGTATTTTTTTTTATTAATATATTTCTAAGGTCCATTGAACTATCTATCACCAAGATGTACAAATAAATTTAATAAAATATAACAGAAACACGAATTATATCAATATAACCTCTAAAATGGGCACAATTTGTCATAAAAAGCCAATTGTCAATACTTTTTATTCCAAAAGGCATAGGTAAGTTTGTTTTTTTCTTAATGGATAAAAATATATAAGCAATAAAATAATAATAAATATGCTAAATATAACTCTATATACTTATTTACATAAGCGAGATCCTACTTTTGAAATATAATTATTTGATATATAAAACATAAAGCAGCGTTTTTACATTGATTTGCCACCTGCTACCATACCAATTTGGAAAAGAAAAATCTAAATTTAAGCAATGTATAATAATATTCCTTTTATATTTAAAAATTAAATTTTGAAATGCTTTGTATTACCGGTTCGTCTCGCAGTTTTCTCGACTAGGTACAGTTCTCGCAGTTGCACGAAGCGCAATGTCTTGAACGAGAAAACTCTGCTCACCAGTAACGGCATCTTAAATATATAAATAAACAGATAAATAATTTATTGCTGAATATATTTCAAGGCGGATAATTATTATTAATTTAATTTATTTTTTATTTAAGAACTGTACTTAAAGTTAAATGCTTGTAAATATTTTAATCTAAGTGCACTTCTAAAATTATTTCATTTGAGTTTGGATTAATTTAATTTAGAAACTGAAAAGATTTTTTTTTTCTTTTTTTGCCCGAACTAATTTCAGTTATGATATCAGTCCGATTTGAAAAATTCTTTTCGCGTAGGATAGTTGAAAAAGGCTTTACAACATGCTATGACTTATAAACTGTAAACATCAAAGTGGAAAACTACAGGCAATTACGCAAACAGAGATACTGGTTCGAATTGCGGGGACAAACTTCTAAGCGTATTGGTGTTGACTTGAGACAAGGCTGTTTTTCAGCGCACAGTTATATGTTAGAAATAAATAAAAATATCATATTCATGCTGAATTAGTTTATGTTCTCTTCAATTGATTTAAAACATACAGTGTTCATAAATATCTTTCTTAGTATAAAGCCATTTAACTGAAGACGCTTTTGACCAAGCTTTATTATTATTATTATATTTCAATCCTTTATTTTTCCAGTAATATTTGGATGTTATTATATTTTAAGGACATTTCATAGTTTTTAATATCGTAGAAAAATAAATGTTAGTAAAAGTATTGCACTTTCTTATAGTACTTTATATGGAATCGAATCTTTTGATGTTTTCGAATATTTTTTTTTACTAAAATCCCAACAAACGTTAATTAACATTTCATGAGAAAGCAGGAGAAGAGAATTTCTCGGGCCTACACATTTTTTAGAATTTATTTAGATAGCGGATGTAAGCAAGGACCGCCCTTAGTACATTCAATGGACCACGTGTGGGATTTAAAAGTCAAATCCTAATAGGGCGTCCATTGTCATTCCGTAGATCGCATTATAGATTGAGTTATTAGGGTGTAATTGGATTTTTTTTTCGAACTTCCCATTTTTTTAATAGTATTTGACATTTTGATCCTGAGGGCTCGTGCTAAATGGCTGTTAAATATTAATCAATAGTGAAATAACGTAGGATATAATGAGCCTTCATTTCATTTTTTTTTATCATTACGAGGGGATGAATGATAAGAAAAAAATGAGAAAACGACACCTAACGGAAAAGTTCGGAAAAATATTAATTTAAAATAAATTCTTAGTTACACTGGTAATAAAAATAAAAATGGTTATAGTCATATATGATTAATTCTATGATTCATTCTACCTTTGACGATTTATTATCAATATCTCCCTAAAAATAAATTTATAAATAAATAAATTTCGGTAATTTTAGATGGTCTTGATATATCTATGGTATTTCTATTTCTCCAGGCACAGTGTTAATAATAACTAATGTTAATAATATTTAACTCGTTGGCTGCGATTACGGTCCCCGGCGCTTATCAGATATAATGATTTTTTACGATTGTACCTATCTCTACATCTAACCAATTCCCATTCAAATATTTTTAAAAATGATCATTTCAGAGACTTCGTAAAGAAAAATTCTTAACAATCTCGAGCGAAATCGAGACGAATATCAGAACATAACGTTTTAATAAAATATAAACATAAAGGAGTAAAACAAAGCCCTTAATAAAATATTATCGTTTTTTAAAGATGTCTACTAATTTTTTTGGTTAATATATTGGCTGCTTACGAGTGACACTCATAAAGTTGAAAAACATAATTTTGAGAAGCTCTTGATCTTTTTTGTTTTTTTTTTAAGCCACTTTAGTACCTACTTAATTAATTTTCAACTAGCGTCATTGCACAGGTATTGAACTTGTTTTCCAAGTTCTCCAATGCTTATATTCTCAGGATAGATACTTTAGATAAAAAACGAAGCTAGGACTTGGTTATTACAATAGGAAGATTCATTTTTGTGGTGAAGAAAAATTCCGAAAATCGTTTTTGACTTATCGTGCATATAATTGTTGTTTACAAATTAAAAATACTATAATAAGGTTGTAACCTGATTAGTCTGTCTCACGTATTAGGCAATAAGTGCACCAATATTTTAAGGAAACGTTCAGGATTGAGATGATCATTGAAAAAGAATTACTTAAATTGAGAAATAAAAAAATATTTAATTTCCAAATTTCTGGTGCTTGGATTTTATTTCATTCTGTTTAATCTGTAACCTTGAATTAAAGGTATTCTGTGCTCTATTCTGTAATAAAATAAAAGGTTGTGGTGTGGTACATCTTAAGAATGCTATACGAATGATGCTCATCAGGTTGGAGTTGGTTTGGGAACTGACGTTACTTATTTAAGTTGTTAAACATGGGAATAGCTGTAGATATAAATAAAATATTTTTGGATATTTTTAATTTTAGCTCAATCCTCTAAAGTCATTTCGTTCAGTTAAATTACTCCATAAAAATCCATTATTCCAATGGGTTCCTCTTGAATTAATCATTGTCTTGCACCACTTGCAATTAGTTAAAAATGCACTATTAAACTGAAATTTGATCAAACATTTCTAGTAGTTACGGTTTGTTTTGAGTAATTGTTTCTTAAACGGAACCGTTAACTGTCGACCTTAACATGCTAGAGAGGGTTTAGCTTATTTTTATTTTTAATAATGTAGAGATAGTTGACCATGATAAAATATGAGAAGGAGTTGATCGGGGGTTGCTGTCAAATAAATACTAAATTATTAAATTAAGGTTAAAAAATAGAAGGTTATTTGTTAACCTTTAGTAGCGTTATCTGTTTACCTATAGTTATCAAATGTAACCTCCACTAGCTTGTTATCCACTGATATCTTATTATTATGTTATCTTATTCTTATTTTAGCTTTACTATATCAATATATATTCTATTTTCAATCTCTTTATTCGTTAACCTACAGTTATCAAATATAATCTTTATTAGTTTGTTATACACTCATTGCTTATATTTCATCACGATCTGTTTACTTTTAACTCTATTTTTATTCCTACTTATATTCTATTTTTGTTTGTACCTTTTATATTTTGTATCGTTTGTAGCCCTGATGAAGACCTGCAAGGTGATTCAAAACTTCAGCATAATAATTAAATAATGCTATTTCTATAATGTAGTATTTATTTGACAGCACCCCTCCCCCCTCGATCAACTCCTTCTCATATTTTTATTTTTGTTTCATTATGAAATAACTTATATACTTATTTGTATCTGTTATTAAAAGTAACCAGTTATTTGGTACTCACGTTAAAAGGCCAGGATTGGGCTCGGCCGCTTGGTACCATGAGTACTGCGGCATGTAGGGCGGTGCCGGGGGGTGGTGGTGGGGGTGGTGATGGGGGGGCGGCTTCATCTCCCAGGGGCCGGGGGGGCTGCCCCCGTGGCCTGGCTGGGGCGACATGTCCGACACGGGGGTCGAGCTGGGGGTGGGCGTGCCGCCGACGTGGCCTCCGAGGTACCCGCCCGGCGAGTGCTGCGACCCGCTCGAGCTGCCTCCGTTCCCACCTGCAACAATAGAAAAATATATACAATTATAACAACAAACAGTTAATAAATAATAGTACAAAATATATAAAAATAATAATAAATATAAATGAATTATAGTCGAACACTAGCGGATCCACAGAGTGGGGGCTTTCGGGCTGAAGGCTAACCCCCTCTCCACCCTCTCCAATATATAAATATGATTTATTTATAAAGAATACATGTTTTGGTTATTTTTGTATTTAGCCAGATAACTCACTGAATTTTTTTGTCTTTTAACATATAATTTTGATGTCGGGGAGCTTGCAGTGTTGCCCGAGGGTATTATTCTGGACTCCCTTGTTATCATTCATCATCACATATATGGTAATTAGGGGTTGATTACCATTATTTATTTATTTATTAAATTTTTAAATTATTTAAGTGATCATATCTTTTTGTCTTTGTCCATAGGACTATGTTACTTGCTGTGTGTGCGCTCTAATTTTCTGGTGTTAAACGTTTGACATTCGAATACTATATATATATATACAAAATATAATTTTTTTTTTTCTTAGCCCTATAAATTACATACACATAGAAATATGTATATATAATATATTGTATAATTGTAATTGTATGTATTAGTATATTATAGTGTTGATATTTTTGTGCTGTATAAAATGAAAAAGAATTTGTATATAATTTCTATGTCCAAAAAAAAAAAAAAGATATATGAGGATGCTGTATATCGAGCAACCCTATATAACATGGCTGCACTGCTTTAAATAAAGCATTTCTCTCTCCCACCTTCCTCGCCTTTATAACTCACTGAAACGAATATAGATCAATAAGTATATATAAGCGAGGAAGGCAAGAACAAAAAAATACTTTCAATGAGTTATCTGGGACTCATTTTTTAATTATTTAATTTATTTATTGGTCCTGTTCAATTCTACCTGTTCCACTTCATAAGCACTATGAACGTTTATTCAGAGTAGTCTGTTAAGCAGACTTTTACCTTACATTTTTACTATTTAATCATATCTACCAATAGTTGACTAATACTTACATATTACCATTTTTCTAAATGATTTAAAAAAGTAATAATATTCTAAAGTTGTATGCACAATGTCTCTTAACTAGTCTTTTTACTTTTTAAGGGGACAAGTATTCAATTAAAGTAATAAACATATCTGAAAGAACAGAGCAGACTGATTAAGGCACCTTGAAGTATTCCAGTCCTCACTATCTTACCCAGAGAGGTTGAAAAAAGGAACTCGGAGCCGTAAACGTTTGTTGCGGTGGCCCGAGTTGTAAAACTCAGATCTAATTAAACGACAGGCTTCTACGAACTGGCCAAGCATTAAGGCCTGCGCTTTCCAGGCGATTCTTGGACTTCACCGATTCCCTTTGTATATGGCGAGGAGTAATACTGAACAAATATTTCAACGCTAAAGAATAAACACCTAAACTCAAATCTTCTATGCCGTGAACTTCAATTTTAAAATATCAGGGATATAATTGACTAAACGCTATTTAAAATCCGAACAAAACGGTCCAAAAATTATAATCAACAATTACAATAACATAAAAAAACATCGATATACTCTATATTAAGATAATCATGGTAGAGAGATTTACTCTCCTTACAGAAGTTTATTTTTATGTTGAGTTTTTCATGTAATTGATACAATGATTTAAAAACAGTATATATTTCATCAATCAGGAATGACCGATATATGGAGCATATGAACTCACTAATTACCCGAAATATTGAAACGAAATAGCTGATGTTAACATGGAAAATCGAAAAAGTCTCAAAAAAATTGGAAATAGACTCGAAGAATAGAACATTTTTTATAATTCGATTTTTGGATTATATTGTTGGTATGTATCAAGTTTTGAGGAGAGAATGTTCTTTCTGATTTTTGAGCGGTTAATTATTTTTTTATTTTTCGGTTGCAACTGTTCACAATTCAAAATTAAGTAATAATAGAGTATTAGCATATATATCGCTGTCAAAATTAAAGTAAATTCAAATTTTATTTTAGCAGTTTACATAATTGGAATTAAATGTTTATATATTGTTTACAATGACGGAAATTTAGATATTTTTCTTATATCCCTCGAACTAAGTAAAACCTAAAGAATATTCTTGTTAAAGTAATTTTTCTGAATCTACCTTCAATACTGATAATAAGTTGTTTATACTGAATTTAAAAAAAAAATATCGTATACAATTTTAATCAGTGTTATGAATCTGTATATTATACCTAAATATAATATCCTCTCTCAAAGAAACAAAATATTTAGCAATGAAGTATATTAATTTGAAATATTATTATAAAAAATCAAACCGACTCAATATTGATTGATATGTGAAGTTGTTATAGCTATTTAAACGCTAAATAATTATAAAGATGGATAAATTTGGAAATAATTATTTAAATAAAACTGTTCATAAATAAACATTTGTTAATGGTTGAAATATGATGAGATTCTAATGACGATGGCTTCCTAAGAAACATCATAAAACACTCCTACGTTGTAAATGCTTTCAGCGTGTATATGCAATATGATAGTTCCTAGAAACAATGATAAATGTTTATTTAGTTAAATTTTTTCTTGAATTAATTTCAGTGTATTTATTTTTTAAATCGTTTCTTATAATTATAAATTAGTATCTTCAAAATTTAAAATAGCATGTAGTAGTGACAACATAATGGATAAGAGCTTAGGAATACTCTGTATATCCTCAATGTCTTATATTGCTTTAATGTAAGTAATTACCATAGAACCCACCTGCGATATGTTTCAAATAATTCCATCGTGATTAAAGGACATTACATCTTAGGATAAAATGTTTCTGAATATACTTTCAATGAAGCTGATAGGTTTTTTGGTTATCAATTCCTATTCAACAAAGCATACAATTTTTTTTAATAAAACATAAAACTTAAATTTTATACCTTTCTACAGAAAATCGAACCATGGTTTATATAAACTTTTCAGTATCTCTTGAGGTCTATAATCACCCTATTCGAATATTTCCCTTTACTTGAGGAGTGCATAGTAAAAAAATTACTGCAGTTTTGAAATGAACTATTCAAGAGGAAAAACATAATAAAATAAAAGTCAGTGTGTTTGAATGATTGTCTAAATTTCATATATTTTGTTAATAAATTCATCAATTTTACGATATTATTGTAGAAACTTTCGCGGGGAGTAGTTTAGAGACTACTTTGCTGATCTACAATAGATAATATATAGTAAATAATATACAATACATAATATATGATATATTATACACACCTCCTAGGATGCTGCCCGGGGGCTGGGGGCTGGAGGGGCCCCCCTGGAGGCCGGGGGTGTGGGGTGGGTTGCCGAGCATGTGCCCGCCCCCCGCGCCGCCTCCGCCGCCCCCTCCGCCCTGCTGCGCCGCCTTCATCATTTTCTTGTATTTACTCCGCCGGTTCTGGAACCATATTTTCACCTGGAAAAATAAAAAAAAAATTGTTAGAAATACATTTATAGGAAGATAAATAAATATATATATACTTAAATCCTATATTGTAATAAAATCCTCTAATCAATTCAACTGAGAAAAAAATCATCCGGAACTATCTGGGATCATAGTACTAAAGGATGGAGCAGAAAAACCAATAACAAGCTGCTTAAAGAATCTAGTCAGTTAAAATCACAACATATGAAAATATGAAAGTTAAGATGGCCTGGGCATGTAGCTCGAAGTAGTTCATCACGAAGCTTTAATAATACACAAAATGCCAAGTGGAAAGCCAAAAATCAAAAGGCAGTCCGAGATAGGCAGAGATGGAAAAAGCTGGTTAAGACGGAAAAAAATCTACAACGTCTGCAATGACAACAGAAAAAAAAAAAAAAACAATAAATATAAAAAACATTAATAAGGTAATGAATATTTAATAGTTGACCGTTGCATTATAAAGGAAGGAGATGGTCCGGAGTAGTGGTCATAAATAGGCTAAATAGTGGCAAAATTATTTTAATAAAAGCAAACGTTTCGATCCGACTTTGAAGGTATTCTTCAGGGAGGTGTGTTCAGCTAGGAGAACTGGGTTCTAAGTGAAACTCCTAGCTGAACACACCTACCTGAAGAAGACCTGCTAATTCGGGTCGAAACGTTGACTTTTAATAAAATAGCTTTGCCACTATTCAGCCTATTTATGGCTGCCATCCCGGACCATCTCCTTCCTTTATTAATAAAATCAATTTCTGTGTATCTGTTTATATGATGGTTCTCAAAATTCCTCGATAATCCATGGCTTATTATTTTTAGAAAAAAACTTAATTAACTTTAGAAATCGATTATCATAAAACTTTACTCAAGAAAAATTCCTATTTACTAAAAACAATAAGTAAACCAGATGGAAAATATTAAACGAAAAAATGGGAAATACGTATTATTAATTACGATATTACAAACCAAACCTAATCAGTTATAATAAACAATCTATTTAAAATAAGATTATTTAATTTATAAATAATTTACAATGAAATTAACTAATGATAAGTATGAAAGAAAAAGTCTCGGTTTGCTTTGTACTTCACTAATAACAATAATTTTAGTAGGTCCGTACGAATACTTCGTTTAATTTACGTAAATCGGTGAATAAATGACAAGATAATATATAAATAAATGATTTCAATGTATTATAAAATAGATAAATTAATGTTATTTTTCTCGATCGATTAAAATGATTCATTTATAATAATAAACCAAAATATGTGTACAAATTACAATAGGCTGTATTGTAAAGATTGTACCCTTGGGTACCAATTACTATTATTTTTATTTATTTGTTACATATTTCAAACTATTATTTTTATTTATTTCTAAATTTTATGGAAAACAGATGTAACAGTTTTTTATTTTATTTTTTTTTGGGGAGGGGAGGGGTGTTAACAATGTATGATTAACCGTATTACCCTTTCTGTATTATTCTATTTATGTAGAATCTGTTTTTAATATATATATATATATATATATATATATATATATATATATATATATATATAAAATAAAATAAGGTATTAGTTATTTATTATTGTTTTTATTCGTTTTTTTTTTTGTCCTAATTTATTATATAATAAGAAATGAACTATCGCATTTATATATAGAAAATCCGATTTACAGAGGTATTAGTGTGAATAGGACAAAAAGAAATAGGATCGGTATCGTACTGAGGGAAATAAAAACGTTAAAAGGAAAACAGGCGAAAAAGAAAGCAATGACCTCCGAAGCCTCGGCTAAAGGTGAAAAGAAGAAAAGCTAGAAAAAGGAAAAAAGGGCGGGAACATTCCGGCGGGAAGGGTACAGCTCAGCTCACAATAAATCTAAACACCTGATCGTTATTTATTCGGATAGCGGTGAGCCTCTGTGGAAACAGTGGATTAATTTGAGATTTACAGCTGTGCTTCGCCCTTTGTCTGCTCCTCCTCTTCCTGTTTTATTTATTTCTCCAGCTCCAGGAACACTTCTCCGGCTACTGGAGTGATAGCCTCGGGGTTCTAGCCTTTGGGTATCTGATGGAACAGAATAGAACGGAACGGCCGGTGTCTGGAATAATTACTGAGCCGATAATATTATCTTGAGTTCTTAAATGTATTATATATAAACTAAAAATGTCAGTCCAGTATAAAAAAAAAGGCAATTGAATTAATTGGTAACGATGGAATCACTCTCGATTGTAGTCTGTAGAAATACGGAAATAATGCAACAATTGAAAATGATTATAATCCAAAACACTTTGAAAAGTTGAATACGTATATTATATATTTCATATTCAGAAATAGTTAATTTATTTTCATTTTCAGCAGTTAAATTATTTATTAGGTAATATATAATTTATTTTTATTATTATTAGTTTCTGTATTATTTAGTGTAAATAGAGTGTGAGTGTGATCTCTGAACACTATTATAAATGTCCTTGATTGTGACAGATTGTAATATATCTAAATAAATAAATAAATAAGGTAATATAATATTCTGTCACACAGAAAATAATTATATTAAGATAAGGCCAAATTCACACTATATGTATTATTTATTTTCAATAAAATACATTTTTAACTGTTATTAAGTGATGAGTTATATCTATATCAGTTTTCTCAAGCTTGATTTGATCAGTAAGACGTTGACTTAATAGTTGCACATTTACTGATCATTAAGAGACTTTCAACTTTTTGTTTGAATAAGTCGATAATATACTTTCTTATTTTTTATAAATTTATTTAAGTTAAAGATTTTTTATAAAATTAAAGGTTGAGATTAGACCGTCACTCTGGTAATTTTTTTCATTGATAAAATCTGTCAAAAATATTTTAGAAAGCTTTATCTAATGATCTATAACATTATCTACATTTATGCCAAAGAGGTTTTATTAACCATTACTTATGTGGTAATCAATTCCTTTTTTTTTTTTTTTTGCTTATTTTGCTGCGAAATCTAATTTATTTATATATTTTTTAAATATCTTGTGTTCTAATATAATTTCTGAACTTCCACAGAACATTAAAAAAAAACAATCTTCTTCTTTAATACTTTCTAGCCAATCGGTATAGAAAAAATATATACCTTTCTATGACCTTTTGAGTATAGCGATGAGTTATATTAAAATTTATATTAATATTATCTCTAATTTGAGGTTGTTTTCGAAGGCTCTAAGAAAAAAAAAATCTTATATATCGAAAAAATTTCTTATTTTTTTAATCCATGTTCATATTTCAACAATTATTGTTCGTCCACTTTTTTCTTGATGAGATGCATCCTTCACAAAATTATAAATTCGTTATATGAACATTAACAGTTTTATACATTTAAACAAAAGTTTTCAAATATCTAAAGCATTTCAAATATAGGACTTGAAACAGCTCAATAAATTTGTTTACCTTGTTTTCTGTAAAATCTTGTTCATAAAAAAAGGGCTTTTAATGTTATATGGCATTGCAGAATTTTATAAATTCATTATTTTATTCTTAAAATTCTATCTTTTTATTTCAATTAATATATTGCTTCTTAATGTAACCATCCTCATTAATAAATGATTTATGCCTAACCTCTTGAGTACGTACTCAAAGCAATGTTGTACTTTAATGACTGTATGATACCTACTTTACTGTCCATCCGCCTCCAAGTACTAATAATAAAACGAGGACTTTATTTACGAAACGAAAAGTTATGGCGCTTACCCGGACATCACAGTATCCTTCTCTTCGCCGTTAATGGCCGAAAGGAACCGTTGCACAGTAAGGCACATAAAACTACTTGCAGGGGATCTTGAAGTAGTTAGAGGATTTATGATTGACGTTAAGTATCGAAGACGGCACAGAGAGGTGCCGCACGTGGACTTGACGTGTGCGGAATTTATACGCCTCACTTTACCGCCCACACTGGCTCAGGACTTTGGCAAGAGGTAAGTAAGACGCAGGGAACGAACTTCGAAAAAAAAACCAACATCTAAGTAAAGTGAGGTCTCTGGTTTTACCAAATATTTTTCTACTTATCTCCTGAACATGAATAACCTTTCATAAATGTTTTAGGAGAGAACGATAGAGTGATGAAACGTATGGTCAGAACTGATATGGACGGTACGAGGTTTAATGACGCAAATTGCGCCTTCAAAATTTTAGAAGGCAGCACATTTTGACGCGATTTTGAATTTTTGAGGGGGCACACTTCGACGAGGTTATGGATTTTAGAAATGAAAATTTCAAACCAGTTAACAACCGGAAAACGCGGAACTTACAATAGATATTGTATTTGTGAATGATCTACGACTTTTTATTTATTTATTTATTGTTACATTCCGCATCTACCCGATCGGGTCATTAGCGGCTTTAGATGTAATCAAATTAGGTGTACAAATTTAATGTCTTTTATAAATTCAAATACTTTTTGTATCTTTTCTTCGTCATCTGAAAGTGCTTCAGAAGGCCTACGACTTTTTAAATTATCCTTTCGCTTGCACTATTCTTGAAGATAAGAACAATAAAATATCTTGAGAGAGGAGCATTCGCCATTGACTATGGGGGAATGGGCATTCCTGGATCAGAAACATGTTTAAAACATGCTTTTCTCGATAATTTTTGATTCTTTTATAATAACTTCCGAAGGGTTTAGTGAATACATTAATGGTCAAAACAAGGAAAATTAATGTTTCCAAGCATGAAAATATTATGTTCAATAATAATATTCCATGAATATAGAGTTATCGTTTTAAACATTGAAACACATTAAATAAATGGTTTAGAAACCCTGAAATCATAAATTGAGCATCTGCTTGAAGAATTACAAGACAAACATTAATACAGTTGTTTCTATGTTTTTAGCTTGAGAGCCTCAATTTTACTCAATTGTAGAGATTTTGGTTATTTTTATCAAAGGATATATATATTTATATTTTTTTATTCCTC